AATGGAGGTGGTGGAGGAGGAGGTGGTGAAATTCACGCAGTTGAAGAGAGAGTATAGAGACATAAGGTAGAAGTTTTTAAAAAAAGTTTTTAAAATCGTTGAACATTTCTGGTATATATAGCTATTGCAACACTTTCCCATGTGAAAATGTCTTTACTACGAAATTTGTCAATGAAACAGTGTGTGAACCGACCAGTATTAACTGCTGCTGCAATGACGATAAAGTAGTTCTAAACTACCAGGACGAGGTCCCACCTTGTCCGAAACTACCAGGACGAGGTCCCACCTTGTCCTAAACTACCAGGACGAGGTCTCACACTGTCCTAAACTACCAGGACGAGGTCCCACCTTGTCCTAAACTACCAGGACGAGGTCTCACACTGTCCTAAACTACCAGGACGAGGTCTCACCTTGTCCTAAACTACCAGGACGAGGTCTCACCTTGTCCTAAACTACCAGGACGAGGTCTCACCTTGTCCTGACGTCTAGTTTGCAACGACTGATGACTGTGGAGAGCTCCAACATGATGGGGAACCACGCTCTGGACCAGATATGGTCAGGATCAGCTGCCGCCTCCTCCGACACATGGAACAACTGACGGAGAGAGATCATGTGACAGTCATGTGAGACATGGGACAACTGAGAGAGGATCATGTGACAGTCATGTGACAACTGATCATGTATCACTTATTTTACACTTCTTCGTATATACCTCAGTGCATTGTATACACACCTTGGCTACAGATCACATGACCACAGACTAAAATCACATGACTACACTATAAAGTCACATGACTGGACAGACCTGTGGACTATCGGCAACGTTCTTGGCACATGAGCGGATGATTCTGATGGCCTCCATTGAGGTGTCGGGGAAGGCAGCGTTGCAGGCAAACTCGGAGAGGCATTTTATGGCGTCGTGGAATGAGGCAATGGAGGCCAGGAAATGGTTCCTGAATATCAGATCTGGGAGGAGAGGGAGGAGGGAGGAGGGAGAGGAAGGGGAGGTAGGTTTGCTCGTTCTTCTCTTTCTCGGTCATTCCCCTGCGCGTTTCTCTTTCTTCTTTCTCCTTTCGCTTCTTTGTCCTGTTCTTTGTCCTTTTCTCTTTCTTCTTTTCTTCTTCTCTTTCTTCGTCTTCCTCCTCTTTTTTTCTTTTATCCTTTCGTTTGTGCTTTTTACCTTATCTTTCTTCATTCCCGTCTACTTCTGCTTTCTTGCTTTCTCTTCCTTCTTCTCTTCCTTCTTCTTTCTCTTTCTTCTTTTCTTTCTTACTCTTTTTCTTTCTTTCTCCTTTCTTTTTCTCACTTTCTCTTTCCTTTCTTCTCTTCCTTCTTTTCGTTCTTTTTTCTTCCTTTCTCCTTCTTCTACTTTCTCTTTCTTCTTTCTTCACTTCTTTCTTTCTTTCTTCTTTCTCTGTCAGTCATTTCTCTTCGTCTCTTCTTCTGTCCGGTCTCTGTTCCCCCTCTCCGTCCACTCCCCAACCTTTGTGCAAGTTAGGAGTTTAGCACGAAATGTACAAAAAGAGCCCCTCGGCAAACGTGAACAACAACGAGCAACCACATTCATTCTAGTAGTATGTAAGTATGTAGTTGACTTGTTTGCTGTGCCTCTGCCATTCTATCTCGTAGTTTACACATGTATAAGTGAGGGAACCTTATCAAGTGAGAGAGCAACTAGAAAAGGAAAGATGGAAGATGAAGAGAGAGAGAGAGAGAGAGAGAGAGAGATGCACACCAGTGGTCTCGAAGGCCATCTCCACGATGGCGGTGTCTGTGTCCGAGGCAGCCAGATGGAACACTGAGAATATGTTCTTCCAACCTGACCTGCAGGTAACACCAGGGGGAAAGAGACGGAATTTACTATCCAGCTTCTCACGCCATCTACATCAACACTGCCTCTACTCCAGTTTCATAATGCGACTCACATAAACATCTTTTTACATTTTCACGGCTATTACTCCCTCCTCTTCTCCTCACCTGACGTTACCAGCCTTGGAACTGACCATCTGGGTCACACATCTCACCACCATATCTCTTATTGTCACTGCCCTGTATATACACAAGGGGCACGTAACACAATTACACAACATTCTACTGGGGTATATATACGTATATACATACATTCTGGAGGTACATATAATTATTATGTCTCGCTCAAGGCACTAAAGTATTTTTTATTTTTTTATTTTTTTGTACGTACGTATGTATGTAGGTGCACAAAAACTTCTGAAAGTTTGAGAAAGAGATAAATTCACCCGCTTCTCTTCATGATGTGTTCGAAAGGTCTGAGGAATTCCTTCTGAAATCTGAAATTGGCCAGTTCTCCTTTCTCCAGGAACTTCATCGACAGCTGTCTCAACGAGTCCACCACGAAGAAGGACACCTCTTCGTTTGGGAGACCACCAACCTGGGAGGGAGGGAGAACGGAGGGAGGGAGAATGGAGGGAGAGAGGGAGAACGGAGGGAGGGAGGGAGAATGGAGGAGGAGGAGAGAATGGAGATGTTTGAAAACCAACCATAACGGCATTTTTTGCACACGGACTACTGACACCATGTTTTTGCACTTGATCATATCAACTTGTCACTTGCTTTGTTTGTGACATGCTTCTATATTCTAGTGCAGAGACAAATAATGTACAAGCTTGCTTTACAGTTTGGTGAGGAATTAAGGATAAGTAGCAATGGTAAGCATTTAGTGTCAGTACGTAAGGGCTAAATTTAGAAGTGTTACTAAATATAGAATAGGGGCACAGTGAAAGAATGCTATTGAGCTCCGCTTTTAGTAAAATTTCTAAATTTAGACCTTATGTACTGACACACTCCCTTTACCTTCTTTATGTATGTGCATTAATACAACAGTACATTTAAACCCAAAATACACCACATAATGATTCCTCACGGTGTTAAAATGTGCCCCAAGGACCTCCCACATGCGAGACCACTCCAGTCTGATTCTGTCCATGTTGTAGTAGGAGATCTCGATAATCTTCTGGAGGCTGAACATGCGTGGGTGGGTGGGATTTGACAGCTCCGCGTTTGACGTGGCACACAGCGCCTCTACAAAGTCAACTGCAGAGAAAGAGAGAGAGAGACAGACAGAGAGAGAGAGTGTGTGTGTGTGTGTGAGAGAGAGAGAAGAAGAAGAAGAATTTTGCATTACCTGGGGTTATAGAATTGTGCCAGGCTGTAACTCCACGTGAAAAGTTATGTAGTGACAGAACGAACAACTAGCTACATACACCTCAACAGTTGTCTGAATTGTACGTCCGTCACACCGGAGTTGCCCATGTACGAGCAATGTATACAAGCGGATGAAATGCAGCAATCATCACAGGAAGTAAGGTGAGAGACAGACCGATGGCCTGGGAGTCGAGGCGGGTGGATCCAGTGAAGATCCTGTCGACGGCCACCACCACTGTCTGCGAGCTTGTCTCTCCTACCTGCTCCTTGATGGAGTCTATCCTCTTCTGATCTGGAGGGAGGAGGGAGGGAGGGAGGGAAGGAGGGAGGGAGGAATTAAGTAAAACATGATACTTTGGCAGAAGGTTCATGTTTTTACTTAATATGCAAATCCCTTGTTCAATAAAGAGCAACTATGTATATATGAGCAGCAGTAGTTGACTTGTGTTAACTTATAGTATCTTAACCTGTGCCAGTCAGAACGGCGTCTACTCCAGTGCGAGATGATTGGCTGATCTTCCCTTTGGCCCCGCCCCCTCGTTGTGGGCGGGCGGAGCTACTGGTTGTCAGGTAACGGGTCTTGACACCGGTGCCGACTAGCTGAGCCAGCTCCAATTGAGACACGCAGTGAAATACCTGGACAGGAGAGGGAGGAACCGCACATACCGTAATGTTCTAAATAAGCGCGAAACACACGAAAAATCGAACTGTTCGTATCGCTCGCCAAAACGAGTTGCGTTAATTCTAATTACAGTCCCTCCCTCCATCCCTCTCTTACATCCATCCAGGAGTCCTGGAGATAGTTGCCATCAGTGTAGGCGACGTTACACAGAGACTTGATGACCTCGATGTTCTTTGGTTTCATCTCGGCCAGACCCACTGAGGTCGTCAGCATCGTGAACTTTGCCAAACCCTTGATGTACGCATCTCTCTCCAGCTACATGGGGGAAAGAAAAGTGGAAATACAACTTTTGAAAACATTTCTGTTCTGCACACTACGCAGTGATAGGAGAAAAAAGGTTTTGGTTCAATGTGTAGCCCATCAGCTACTGTAACTAGTATGATACACGAAATACTATAAAAATGGAGGTTGGGATCCAGCATTGCCTATGGGGCAGTAAGTTAGTACAGTACAGCTCACATCCAGTGAGAAGATGCATGATATTCGTATGGCGCAGCGAAAACCATCGAGACACAGTGACACCATCTCCGGGTCATCTCCGTCTCTCAGGGCAACGCTGAATGCCGCCAGAAATGGCGTCCAGGATACCTGTGAAGGAGGGAGAGAGAGAGAGATTGAGAGAGAGAGAGAGTGATGTGTACATTTCATGAAGAGACTCTTAATTACCTTGAACATGGCCTTGACGTGTTCGACGTGGGTCGCCGTGATGAAATCAGACGCACTGTTCTTCATACCCTCGACAAGGGCCTTGGCAGTTTCCGAGGCTTCCAGCATCTCCTTCTGGTATATCACCCTCCTCTGCTTCTCACTCACTGGGGGGAGGAGGGAGGGAGAGGGAGAAAACTAAAAATACTTTAACGTTTGAAGTGCAAAACCTGTTGAATTGGCCAAAAAGCTAAATACAACAACTTGTAAAGAGAGATGTTTGGTAAATTAATGCTCATATGTAGGTATGAACAAGAGATTCAAGACAACAGACCCCACTTTGAGAATGATAATAGGCTATGCACATAATGTATGCAGCTATATGAGTAATGAGTTAAGAAATATTGCCATATTAATCGCCTCTGTAAATCTAACTCTCTGCATAAAACTAGCCAGTAAAAGAAAGATAAGTAGAACGTGTCACAAGTACCTCCCATGACCGATCTGCCGATGGTCGATCTTCTCACGGACTGAGAGCTCATCTTGATCTCTTTCATGGCGATCTTGTCATAGATGGCCTCCAGATACTCCCGAGGTAGGTCTTTATGGTCGTTGATTCCTCTGTTCATCTTTATGTACTCCTCCTTTGTCATCTTCTTCTTCACCTGAACACAGCATGGAGGAGAGAGAGAGAGAGGAGAGAGAGAGAGAGAGAGAGAGAGAGAACAGAGAGGGAGAGAGAGAGAGAGAGAGTGGCCATTTTTCTTAAGTTATAGCTAACTTGAGAGCTGTGGAGATCAGTGGTCAACATAATGATGGAGTACGCCAACACGTAGGCTGCATCGGCACTCGCAAATATGTCTAGTCTGTGACGAGGGAGAGGGAGAGAAAGTGTGTATAGAGTGAAATAAAGAGCACTAGAGAATAAGAGAAACAAGCTACATATATAAGTGGATGCATCCCGAGAAGGTTCAAAGGTCAGACGTACTTAGTGTTAGTCTCGCAGTATCGTCCGGCGAACTTCTCCATCAGTCTGTCGATCTTCTGCGCCTCGCCAGGGAGACGGAACTTGGACAGCAGCAGTCGCAGCGCGGCGACAAAATCCATCCCGGTGAAATCCATTTGGTCGATGTACGCATACATCACCGCCTTGCAGTAGCTATGGCGACCATAATTAGCAAGGAAACGGATTACATTTGGTCATAAAACACTTGTAAAATCATCAAATGTACTAAAAGTAGGAGCCAGGGCTAAAGGCCCCACAAAAATTAATTGGAATGAAAATTCTCGCAACTTTTCCACAGCCTACAGCTCATAATATGCAGCGTAATACACATTTATATATAGTATATTGTATATATACACATGCCATAGTGTTAATTAATAGGGACTTACTCATCACTTTCCCCAAGGTAATCGCCAACAGCTGCCTGTAACGAACGGAACAATAAATAATCACCTCATAATTAAGACCCTGTATAATTAGCATACACATGAACACTGGAAAAGAACATCAAGGGAATGTGGCAGTATATACAAAGGGTTAAATTTAGAACATGTAACGACAGGGATGCAGTGAAACAATGCAACCAGTTCCGTTAACCCTTATAAATCCCCTTTAAACTTTATTCAGTGTGTGAAGTTGTAATTCTTTAAGAATTCTTTCTTTGAAGTTTTAATTCGATCAGTGTACACTTTAAGGTTTTATAAGCACTTGTATCCATGCATGGGTAGCAAACCCAGGGATACAGGTAATTGAATTTCAGAATACGATGTCGGAATGTAACCTTGTCCAGTCTGTTGTCGCTGTGAAAGAGCTGAGCCACGTTGTCAGGGGTGTCTCCTAGGAGACCGTTCTCCTGCAGGAACTTCACCCCTTTCTTTGGTTTAGTGCCGAATCTGTGAGAATGAGGGAGAATGACACAGATGAACAATGAAATAGAGTACGTTGTCCAAATAAGGTGTAGAATCAGTGTGAGAGAGAGAGACTCACAGCTGTATTCCCTGCTGCATCTTCTCCTTCCTCTTCTTCCTCGTCTCAAATTCCTCCACTCTGGCTCCAACCTCCCCCTCCCCTCCTCCTGTTCCCACTCCTAGTTTCCCTGACAACGACCCATGTCTCCACCCACCAGCTGCCACGCCCCTTTCATCTCCATCTCCCCCGGTCCCACTGTCGACGACGTCGTTAGCGACAGATTGCCCAGGGGCGGTCTCCTTCTCATCAGCCCGTATGACCCGGACGGTATTGAGGCCTGTTGTGGCAGGATCTATGTAGTGGGCCCGAGACCATTCCACCATGCATTTCAGAATGGAGACCAGACAGTCGAGACCTTTGACCCTCAACATCTTCTCCTGTGCAAGCGAATTGATTGGTCGGTTTAAAAATTTTAAACCATACATGTATTTAGCATTTTCTCCGAGAACTGGGGATTGATTGGTTGTGTGTGTGCAACAAAAATACTCCAAAACCTTAATGAAAAATTGAAAATTGCAAAACCTGATCCACTTGTTTTCGAGCAGTGTTCACAAAATTAATGTGACGTAAGAGGTAATGAATATCATTAACCTGATGGGTAGTGGCTCCAAGCTCCATTGGCTGACGGCCCTGAGCTATCTTGGACAGCTCTCCAATGACATGTTCAAAGATGTTGAACAGCGAGAGATCGCAGTCGTAGTTGAGATAGATATCGACCACATGCTGTGAATCTGTGTGAGGAAAAGAAAGTATGTATCTAGACAAATGTAACGCATTCTGGTGAGCGAAGATAGCAGTTCGAGAGGGAGGAGAGAGAGAGAGAGAAGATAGCAGTTCGATGTATTTCGCACGTATTTTCTAGCGTATTTAGATGACAACTGAGGATGAAAGAGGAGAGAGAGAGAGAGAGAGAGAGAGAGAGAGAGAGAGAAGAAGAGAGAGAGAGAGAGAGAGAGGAGAGAGAGAGAGAGATAGAGAACGTATGGAAACCATGAGAGAGAGAAAGACGTCATAGTAACAGACTGACACACACACACACATACCATTACAGACGCGACCCAGAGCCTCCAGAACCAGCCACTTGTGTTGGAAGGAGGAGGTGGCAGACTCAAGGATGTTCAGGAATATCTCCTTGAAAAACACCTGCAGACGGCAAGAAATACGACATTGTCTGATGTGTGAACTTACATACTACGTCAGGCATTCAGTATTACATATACCTCCCTAATGCACGTCTGCCAAGTATTTTCTTGCGTTCTATTATGAAAGTGTCTGCACTTTCCCAAACATACACTGGAGGCTGAATTCATAATACGGGTATATAGGAATAACTGGAGAAGTATAGAGAGGATTACTATATGCATGAGTCTAGGAATCAAATTGAAACAAATTTTTAAGGACAGTATATACTAGTTGGATATTACCATCAAAATAGGCCTAAATTCCTCATAATTGTTCCTAACAATATATAGTACTTCATGTACAGTACCTCGATCTGCATCTTGAGGTGTATCTTGAAGGTCTGGAAGAGGGCTAGGAAGATGGAGAGAGAGAGCTCCACCACCTGTGGCACGCTTGAGACTCCGTTCTTCGACAGCGCCACACACAGATACTGCTTCACCGCTCCAATGAACACCTCTTCCGCCTTGAAGACCTGCCGGACGATATGGAGGGAGAGAGGGGTTAAGTTACCAAAGAGGGAGGAAGGGGTTAAAGTTACCAAAGAGGGAGGGAGGGGTTAAAGTTACCAAAGAGGGAGGAAGGGGTTAAAGTTACAATTATGAGCTTCTAATATACCTACTATTTTGCACATTAAAGATCTACCACCCACCTCCCCTCCGTTCTGGAGGATGGAGGCAATCAGTTCCAGACTCAGGATCTTGGAACGGAGTTCGTGAGACCTGGGAACATGGGAACATGGGAACCGGACCTCAGTAACTTATCATACACCTGATCTACGTATGTAATCTGGACACAAAATATTATATGGTGCAGGAAGAAAGTGTCCATATCAGCAAGGTGTCCTATTTTGCAAGAACTGGTCTTGGCAGTCCTCATCAAAATTCTACACCACTGCCCCAAAGCAATATTGGCTATGTTTTTAGCACATGGCAACCATTTACATTGTATTATACTGGTGTCGAAAATGACTCGTAGTCAATGAACGAAAGCCTCAAACAGTTCTCACCTCACGTCGTGGATATCGCTAACTCCCTTCATAGACAGTCTACAGAGGGACCTGAAGACCATGTAGCAGTCTTTCTGGAGAGGGGACCGAAAGTGGTGGCCCCCCGAGCCCCCCTGGTGATTTCTGGAGGGGGTCCCTACAATATCCGACTGATTGAGTGACGACGTATCGTCGTGGGTGATGGAAGATGTGATGGGGTGAGGATCTTCGGGCTTAGAGAGAAAGAGAAAGATAAGGGGGAGGAGGGAAGGGAAAAGTAAACGTGTTCAGTACCTACAAATTCATTACTTTCATGTTGGAACTCTCACTATAATATTAACATAATAATGCACACCTGCGGCGTAGTGATACAAACGTGTGACAGCAGACAAAGAGCAAGATAATAATGCCATGGCCACAGCACATACATAGCATTCCACACATCATTACATCATACATCTGATGTGTTCCAATACACAAGGAAAAGGTCACAAGGTCACAGTGTGGCAGTCAGAAACTCTACTCCTTCACTTCTATTGGTCCCGCCCCACGTGTAGTCCGGTTTTAACCCTCCCACCACTACCAGACGGTTGCCACTGAAAACTGCCAGGGGCAACGACCTTTGAACCCCGAGTCGACCGATCACAGACCACGAATCGTCCGAGGATTGTAACCGTACACTTCGCTGGAGTAGGGCCCCGACAACAAGACTCCACCCACTGCGACCAGTCTGTTGCCAAGGGAGACGAGCGTTGAGCAAGCAGTGGGGAGTTCCTTCACGTTCATCCAAAGAGGTCCCCCTCCTCCACATAGAGACTGGTTCACACTCACTGAGACATCATTGGAAGCTCCCACACCGACTTTACCATTTGGGACTCCACCCCCTTGCTCAGACAAAGCTCCATCCACTTTTCTTTCTCCATTTAGAGCCACCCCTCCTTGTTTACATGAAGCTCCACCCACTCCTTCGTTCAGGTCTTGCTTGCTGTAAGCCCCACCCACTGAAGCCATACTTTCACCGTTAGTCCCAGACCCTCCGCCGCTTGAAACACACCTCCTCGTTTAGCCCCACCCACAGGATGCTGTAGCCCATGGCAACGACAGCAGATCAACGAGAGAGCACGTGAGCACAGACTGCGACGCCAGGAGAGAGGTTCCATACTCGTCCTTTCTTTGAGTGAAGAACCCTCCCAGGTACACCTGCCCGTCCTGTGCCACCATGGAGACTGAGGTCAAAGGTTGCGGTAGCGGTGTTGCCGTCATCCATTGCGACATCTCCACGTCTAGCACTTCAACCGTCGTTAGTTTCTTCTCCAAGCTACCTCCCCCGGCGACCACGAGATGCCTCGCCGTGCCGATGACCCCCGTGAACCCTCTCGGGGTTGGCATGGAGGGGAAACCCCTCGCCCATTTCCACCCGTCCCGCTCCCTCTCCAAACACAGGAGCTGGTTGGAACACGTAGTTCGCAGGAGCCCGTCCCTGACTCCGCCCACCCCAGTGACCTTTGACCCAACTATGGCAAGACTGAAAAACTTGACTGGGTAGTCAGGGAAACGAAGCCACTCACCCCTCACCTCTTTCTCCTCTCCCCACCACGACGTGGTCGTCTTGGTGATGTCACGGTAACCAAACACCTCCCTTGTGTCGCAAGAGTTCAAATAAACGATGTCACCGCAAACGGTTGCTGTTCCGCGTCTAAAAACGACGGGGGCCTTCCCCGCCCTCTCCCACAGCAGGGAGTTGCAGGGAGATAGCGATATCACCTGACTCGTTGCAGAGGTACCAGCGTTGTTGCCATTGGTGACACTATCACCACGAGAACTCATCTCTCTCGGAGGTCGCTGAACTCTAGTCAGAGTCTCACTACTACCATTGCTGCCATCGTCTGTCGCGGAGGAGCTCTGCTGCAGACCTCTTGCTCCGTATATCCACTCCTTGTCTTCTTCCAATTCGTCGTCAGGCGATGACATCATCCCATTTTCAGATGACATCACCCCGTTTTCTGATATCAATGGTCCACTTGCAGAGGACTTGAGCCCTTCTTTGGGCGACATCACTCCGCTCTCTGATGACATCATCGATAAAAACTCAGCCTGCTGACAGTTTGTAGGGGATCTTGTTTCACAGCTATATATGGCAGTTTGTCTCTCTCTGCCTACTTCAGTAAATCTTCTAGTGACACCAGCTCTACCACTCCAGTTGTTTCACTCGGCCTATGAACACTGTATCACAGGTCTAGCAGCAGCTCCTTCCAATATTCAGTTTACAACACGGCCCTTGTGGTCCCACGTGACAGTACGGTACACGGCTCGAATCCAGAAAGACTGCAACAAACGCACTGGCTCCACGAGCGGCTCCAGAAGACGGCGAGATCCAGCGGTATATATATACACGTACACTACTGAAGCACCGGTCCACGCAGTGAGTGTACTGAACAGGAAACAGCCAATAAGCTGACCACGCCACACACACACTAGACGCTAAAACCACGCTATGCCAGCTAAGCAAAGGAGTTTACATTGTGACAATTCAGTGGCTATATAGCTAGGCAGGGAGGACAATGGTAGGAACTGTAGTACTGTCAGGTAGCAGAGAAGGCAACAAAAGACTGAGCCACTAAGACTATTGTCTCTCCCTCACTCTCTTCTTCTTTACCCACGCCTGCGAGCAAAGGCTATGTTTTCTGTCCATATGTATGTTTGTCATCCCCACCAAAATCGCCAGATCTCAAGATACACGCAGGCCCCCTGCCCTGAGTAAGTTTGAACCAGCAAAACACTGGCGTCACTTGTGATTGGGATAAACGACACTTACCACAACTGGCTAGAAATACAGCTACATATATACAAACGTTGGGTCATTTGGCCACGCCTATCAATCAACATGTGTGCATGCGCTCAATACCGCGCCGGGTATGTATGTATGTGCTCTCCAGAGCACGACTATTTATTTTCTCCTCCCCTCCTCCTCTCCTTTACCTTGTCTTCATCAGCTCTTCCAGATCCCTCCTCTCCCTCTCCCCTCTCCCTCGTCTCTCTCACCACTTTAGCCAGTACCCTCTCCACTAACTCACTAGCCACCTCCTCCAATTTACCATCCACCACTTCTAGACACACATACACAAACATAAACAAAAAGGTTAACAAACCTTTTTTAAATGGAGCAAACTAATGTGTACACTGATCAGTATAAATCAAAGTAGAGTAGTAACACGCACAAACTAAGTCCACTAGAAACACACACACGTGTGAATTTCAACACACACGCACGCGAGTCAAAAATGTAGTAACAAACCACAGTGTTCACCTGAATCATGTCGTGTTGAGGTGGTGTCAGCTGGTGTCAGCGGCTGATCACTAGATCCCACAGCTGATCCTGGGGACCGACACCACACAACAAACTGAATATGTTGTTTCTAGGAGGAAATAGGTGCTACTGTTGCATAATTTTGCAGGCTGGGACATTTGTAATGCAGGCAAAAGTTTCTCCACAAAATCTAAATTTGCAACCAAAATTCAAAAGTTATCCCTCTACATGCTATGTTCAACATTGACAGTGGATGTAGTAGTTTTCAAGAAGTTTCAAAAAAAAGTTTTCTGATAAAACTATAGTAATTCTTTCATACCATTCCGTGCTGCAGTTTCACCTGACACCTGCAAGAGAGGAGGAGGATGGAGAAGAAGGTGAGAAAGGGAGTAGAGAGAAGATAGATACACGACTTTACCTCCAGCTCCATCTTCTGGTACAGAGTGGTCAATATCTGAGTGAGGCATGCCTTGGCCGTCACCTATGGCAACAAACAGTAACGCATTCTTCACACACCACAACAGGATTAGACTGCACAGTGGATTGGAAATAAGTGTCAATATTCTGTCAGTTTTCCTTTTTTAAATGCATGCAAGAAACGTAGAGATTCTAAAACCGAGGCTGTACTCTTCCCAAACTTCATGGTTCCAAGGTGCAACTTGCAAATACGCTTTCTTCAAAGAGACAAACTTCAGGAAAAATGTTTCGAAGTTTGTCTTCATTGGAATTTAGAAACTATTATTATTATTGAGGTGTCCTCATTTCAGGGGTGTCCTTAGAGAGGTTTTGTGAAAGGGAAACTTCAGAACTAACTATATTATTGTTGTTGTTATTATTGGCAGCACCTGGTTGATGATGTTCCTGCTGGCAAGGAAGATGTTGTAGCAGCTGCGAACGGCCTGGAGGACAGTGGCACCATGTACCTCCACTGTGCCAGCCGTCAGGATCGTCAGGAGAGCCTGGGGACCATGGGGGAGGAGGCTCCTCAAACACACAACTGTAAAATTAGTGGGCGGGGCTCTGTTGCCACAGGCAACAAAATAAAATCTAGAGAGCCACACCCACTGATTTACCTCCCCTAGTAAGTCTGAAGCCACACCCACTGATTAAAGCTCCACCCTCTCTAGCTCAGGCAGTCTGAAGCCACACCCACTAATTATGTACCTTAATTATCTGGAACTCCACCCCTCAGCAGTCTGAAGCCACACCCACCAATTATGTACCTTAATTATCTGGAGCTCCACCCCCTCGTCAGTCTGAACCCCCACGAAGCAGGAGCAGATGGTGTTGATGATTCTGTCGATTAGCCGCTTGTCAGGGTTGTCGGGGTCGGGCTGGTTGCCACGGAGAGCTCCATTCGCTATCAGTTTCTATGGCAACACAGAATATTACGTTTTGGAGCCTCATAACAGACGTCAAAGGGTCCGGATTCAATACCAACATTATTATATAGTACAATAGGAGCACTAGCTTCGTTCACCAATCAGTACATGTACCTGAAGACAGTCGAGTGCAGTGATGGTAATCCTGGGAACACTGCAGCGACATGCCAGTTCAAATGGCTGGTAATACTTATCAGCCACCACGAGAACCTCAGGAGATGAACTGGGGGGAGAGGAGAGGGGTGGAGAGGAGGGGAGAGAGAAGAGGAGAAAAAAGGAAAAACGGAGAGATAGGAAGAAAGAATGAGAAGAAAGAAAAATGAAGAAGTGTGACAGAAGAACGACGGTTAAAACTTACGAAGTGGACGGTTTCTTCAGCTCAACTTTAATCTCCTCTGAAGGTGATAACAGAACAACAGATGTAAGATTACAAAGAGAAAGTGGAGAAGAGAGGAAGGAGAGAATCGAATGACACAATTCATATAATTATGTATCCATTAAGAAGCATCCAAAGATTATCATGAGTTTCAAGAACATGGCATAATTATGGTCTACATCACTTGAGTCAACTAACGCAATTCCAACAGCAGCATACTAAAGTTAGGTGACTCATATAAAACACATGAAAGTCACGTGATTTAACTACTGGGTCACATGACGGTCATGTGACTCACTGAGAGCAGTCTCGCAGGCCTTCCTAAGCTCCTGGTGTTGAGATCTTCTCAGCTCTCTCTCTGACAGAATCTTCTCCAGGGCTCGTGTCAGGAAGAGGTTCTGTGAATGAGAGGATTTGGCCGCCATCTTCACCTGAGAGAGAGAGGGAGAGAGAGAGGGAGAGAGGGAGGGAGGGAGAGGAGAGAGAGAGAGAGAGGAGGTAGAAACATCATGGTACAGGTAGCACATCTCTTGAAAATGCCCACCACAATATTCACAAAGAGCGAGCTACTAGAAACCTCAAATTAGCACAAGGTGATTCTAGCGAGGTCCCAAACACGCAGCAGAAACGGGCCTATATTCTAAATAAAGCGCACCTCAGTCGAACGACAGTCGCGGTTGGCGACGGCCTAGGGATCTAGTAGAATTCTTCACTCTGCACTCACGTGACAACAGAGACTCGCCTCCACAGCTGCCGCCGGTCTGATTCTCTCTCGTCCTCTGCTAGCGAGAGAGAACAAATAATATGTCGTCGAGACACGTCGGGTACGGCCCTATTTGTCCTCATTCCAGTCCACGTTTGGAACGGAGACCACTCCGAGCAAGCCCCTCCTCCTCGCTACACACCTCACCTCACCTC